GTTGAGCGCGCTTCAAAACTCGAGTAAAACACTGCCGCCACTTAAGACGCAAGAACTTATTTCTTTTCTCATCCGAAAGTTGCCGCGCTTCGGCAAAATGGACGAGAATGTGAAATGGAATTTCGGGATCGTTTCCTTCGTCCGGGGGAAATTTCACCATTTCGCTGCTACTATTCTGTCGATAAATCCGACTGGTCATTATGTTGTAACGTAAAGCCGATTGAGTCGACGTTAAAATACTTTCAAATATATTGTTGCTCGATAATAGATTCCCGAATAGATTTTCAAAATATCTATCGTGTATTAAAGTCCCGTAATATTCTTTAATAATTTATAACATGCATATTGACATGATTTTCGCTCGTGTGACACTTGGAACGGCTACATTGAAAAAAGATTTTCACCGTACCGATTCCATTTATCAAAAAGTGCCACTCCTCGTCGCTTCGGACCACATTTTCCTACCTCTGGATATCTATCTCCTTTACTTTGTAATTAATCATTGGCGAAGCCCGAGGCATCTTCCGTGGACCCGTTCTAACATCCGACAGAACTTTCCTGTGCAAGGATCACACGCGGATTAGGGACTTCGGAACTTTCGGTGAGCCGGGTCACATTTATCTCGGGAACGTCGATACATCTTGGAATCATTAAGAATTTCAGAGTGAGTATCAGTGATGACTTGTCGTGCGCGCTATTTTCCGTGACGTTCATATTAACTCGGCTAAAATAGAAGGCGAAATGTGAAAATATAGGTGTTAGTATAATTCAATCTAAAATCCAATTTGGTTCACGTAGCGCTAATATTCAAACGTTTGCATTGTTAATTTAAGATTTATTCTTGTTTTTTTTTTTCCATCAAACTATTTATTAGAAGTACAAAAAGGCGTGATTATGAGGCCGCTTTCGAGTGCCCCGAAATCCGTGTTCTCCCGACAACAATATCCCGTCAAACTATGCTTGATTATGCTTAAAAATGCGCGCAAAATTTACATAATATCATGCCGCTGTAAATTTCGAAAGGGAGTACGCTGCGGCCGTGCGCGAATTTCATTAACCGGATAAATATGAGAGAAATGCGTGGCCAGCTCGCCCTCGTTCAGGGCAATGTTTGATTGAACATTATCATGACAAAGGACACTGTGTGGGTGCTTTCGTAGCCGCTCTGTCTCGCCCTCTCACCAACCAGTATGACGTCTTTTGCCCATAGACAGAGTTTGTTTGCATGCAATAACATGACAGAATCAAGTGCGAGAGGGAGAAAAAATAAGATTGTTACATTTATAGCATACCTTGTAGCATATCTAATATTTAAATCCTAAGAATTGAATGATATAATATAATCAACAGAAAATATAAACGTATATATAAATACATTAGCGCGAAAGTTAGATAAAATAACAAAATTAAAAATGAGTCCATGAAAGATATAAATATACGACTACCACGATTCTCAAATGATTCGTAAGATATAACAGCAATCTACTTATGAAAACGTGACGTCAAATAACGATGGCAAGAACGAACGCCAAAGAGTGCTTGGCATCCCCCCAAGACATCACTCTATTCGAGAACAGGTGTACGTTTCGTGTGTACCGTTTCACAAGAGATAGAATTCCATTAGAATCGGTTGCGTGAATCCCAACAGCAGCAATTATAACACGCTTGTGACGTATACTTGTGCCGATTAAAAAAGCCGATTAAAAAATCAAATCGAATAACATTATAATTATTGTAAAATTTTTTTATCGTTGCGTTTTTTGTGATCTAATGTGAGTTAGAGACAAAACATGAGAAGAATCGTAGTTTGGCAAATATTGTGTCACTTTAAAAAATGAATAAAAAAGTGATAAAGTATATAAATACTTAAAAAGTGAAAAACTGATTAGTAAAATGTCACACTATAATATTGATTTCGGTGCACTCAAAGAATATAGGTTGATTTCTCTTCGGTATTTCTTGTATTTGCGCAAAAAACAATGAAATATTACATTTATTAATTCGACAATGAAAAATACATCGCGTTGAAAAAAAATTGTCGCGCGATGCCAACAAAGTGCTCGAATTCACTGTAAATCGTCGTGTCAGAAATTTATCACTGTTTTTCCTATTTGAAATATCGACTAGAAGAATCTTGGCACACAGCCTTGTTTTCCTAGCGTCTGCACGAATAAGCATTTCTACATATAACCAAACATCACACATCATCTCGTATAAATATACGACGAACGTAACTCACAGTAGGTTTATTTAATAAAGATTTCTTTGGCACAATTGAAGAAGCAAGTCAACGGTTCACGGAGTTATAAAACAAACTCTTGCAGCAGTAAATAAAATAAAATTCGATATATTAGTAGCTAAAAATTTTTAAAATAATCGAGAGATATTCTACAACGTAAATCTACAATGAGAGAAAGAGCGCTTATAACATAAAAATTTAACATGTTTTTTTGAACATATTGCTTTAAGAATAACAAATCACATGATGATTGACACATGATATAAAGCAACATTATTAAATATTGAAAATGTACATACCGAAAATTCACAGAAAAGTTTTTTTACTTTGATATATGAATTATACAATATTTTTTCAATCTCCCGTATTTTCTATCAGTCAAACTTCCATATCTCTGGAAAAATAATAATCCCTCACATGCGATGCAACGCATCAAAGCAGCTCGTGCGATCAACGTTTCTCGGCTACGATTTTGAAAAAGTATTGATCACACGTGCTTCGATAATCCAGCAAACGCTTCGGTCCAATAGCAAGGAACTAATTGGTCAACCTTCCTCAAGCTCCGCACCTTCCCTTACTGACCGACAACGTCCGATGTTATTGGCGGTTTGCCACCCACCACGGACGCACCTTGTCGCGGTTTACGCCCGTCGATCTCGTCGAGATACGGTACTCCCATTCAACCCGTGTGATCTCCCTTTAAACGAATTAAAGGGCGAAAATAATGCAGTAAAAAAGTCAATTTTACACAGCTGTCTTTACATGCAAGTATGTTTCAATTTACGCGATCTTGTTAGAGTGAGAGCATTTCGGTACATTTCCGTTTATTTTTATAAAATACTTTTGAAAAAGCTCGTTGTCATCTTGTCATTTCAAAAATTACTTTTTCGCAAATCAAGCAAAATCGATATCCATAATGACATACGTGATTAAATTCGACATAAATTATTCAGCCGGCAATTGCTCGAGGCTCAGGTGTACACGCGCGTTCCTCACTAATTAACTTCGTCGATCGCCGCGTATAAAATCAACATTTATTTTCCAAGTACGGTCGCTCTTTATATTTTTTGGCCCACAAACAACAATAATTCATCGGCTAACAATGAACTTACTGTCCGCTTCACGTTAGAGTTTTAGGTACATTAACTACGTATGTATCAAGCTTAACGACTCATTGTCAAGTCGCTTTGCGCTTCCAAGAGCGTAATGTCCCGAACTTGGCGAGTTAATTCGCGGCTTCGCGGTTTGTTAGCCTTGTTCACGGAAAATTACACAATTTCCCACATACTTATTATTACGAGAACGAGTGGAAGGTGCGGCGCAAATGTGAATAAAGTCTTTATTTATCTTTCTATATATACCGAGCGACACTCTTATAACAAATAGAATAAAATATTATTACACTAATAATACACAATAATTAATATACTTAATATATAAAAGTATACAATTTTTTTCTCTATATCTGAATGTCAAATTGATGAAACATTAAAAGCCTTTATTGCATATTGCAATTCAAATGATTGTTTATTATAAACTACATTTCTATCTCCATGACATTCCCTGCACAGAGTGAAAACCCTTCAATTAACATTCGTTTATGACACTAGATTCTCAATCGAGTTACTTGGTACTCAATGAATCCATGTGACAATTCGAAACTCGTGCGATCCAATCAACTGCGGTCAAACCATTCGGCTTCATCCAGCGATAGTTGTCAATCGCATGCAGAATTTCACGATTTCGAGGAGCAGCAGTAAGATAATCGAATTTCACTGGTCACTTTGATGGCTGTTGCACAGTAATGGAGTTGCCGACGACTTATCCAGGTTCGCCGAAGTCGCCTAATGCCCTCTCAACACGGGGCATCCACGTAGCGTCTGTTACATGTTCCGAACTTTGCGGGCTAATCCCATTCTTGGGAACCCTGCCCGGGGCGAGTAGAATCTGCGCGGACGAGATTTCGACAGTCGATTATTCGTGGTTCTACTCTCAATCATGCGAGCCCAAATCGCAAACATGTCTGCTCGCGAATTCGCGCGATCGCGTGATTCGCGCAGTCATCGCACGGATTCCATCGGACCGTTCCCGACGATTTTCTCGTCATCATTAATATCACGTAGCTGGCGTGTTTCCTTCATCCATAAACCATTCGCCTCTATGCTGATACAGCAAATTCCTCATTCTCCTCCCAAGTTGTTTGTAAATCTTTTAGCCCTTAGGATTTTAGGACGTGTGTATGAATTTTTTATGCGACATTATGCCGTCAGAATAACGAAAGGATTGTATCGGATTTATGAGAGAAAGCATCGGTTGTGTAGGTAAATAAGAAATTTTCGCATCGTATTAAAAGAGCCGCAAGGTGCTCGAATATCGTCGATCTTTTTAAATTGAATCATGCAAATCATGCACCTTTCCACGATCGAAAACACGAAAAACACTATTTCACGAAGTTGGTCCATTGGTCATGTCTCAATTTGAGTTAAACTTGCAAATACGCGAATACGAGCCAGAATTTGCCGCAAACTCAAGGAATTCTCGGCAAAGGAAACTCGGAACGGTCTTCGGACACGATGAGATTTATGTTACACAGTGAAATCGAAAAAACACTTGTGCGACTTTACCCCGATCTCACCGGTTCTTGGGCGTCAGCCCGAAACTGTAAACCCAATCTAGGTGCCCTTAGATCCGAGGTTAGACGTTAAGCCCGCGCGTTATTACGCAGCGTTGATATGTAATGTTTTTCGACCTGTCCATGCAGGAGTGACCATTCTGCTGTCGCTGACAGTTTTCCTGAACCTCGTGGCAGAAAGCATGCCGACGACTTCGGACGCTGTCCCTTTAATAGGTACCTATGATTGTCAATCAACGGTAATTCGCATCTGGCAAGCGTGTTTTTACAGTGTCTGTACATACATCCGTATGTGTATATATTCGTGAAAGGCGGGGCGCGCCGCGATCATCTTTATTTATTTAACATCGCGCGTATTGACGATGCACATTGAAATATCATAATTATACAGAAATATCAAATGGAACGAATGTGCAGATTGCTGAATCAGCCTTCTATTCAAATAAATTTTGTTATCAAAATGACGTTTAGTTCGAAAAACATACGAATAATTAATACATAATTTCTAAATAAAATTAAGAGTTTGTCACAGCTTCCGGCATATTTTTATTACCGATCGATTGTTGATGAAGGTGATAAAACGGCGCGCCCTGTGAGTGTACCTTCGCCTGTCCTTTGCGCAATTCCTAGAAAACCTCGACGGAAATAAGCAGACAGTAAGGTGGAAAATATTGAAGACGACAAATTACGAAGGTAGTCTAGGATGACAAGTGAAGTTCGTTCCTATCGTTCGAATAATGAGTGCGAATTTGCGAATTGAGCACGTCAAAAAGGGCAAGTCAATTGATTCTCGAAGGATTCTGACGGATTCGTGACCTATCGCTCTAAAGGGCTGTGCTCGAGCTCTCAAACAAGATGGGAAAATAAAAGGTCGCCGCGGGAATCAGGATTATACGTTTTCCGAGAGTCGATTGCTTCCCCTTCCCTCTCTCCCCCTTCACCGTTTCCCTATCCGGGACTTATTAACCCATATCCTGCCCTTAATTCCTTCTCCACAGTTGGTCCACAGTTACGCTTAATTTCGCGGAATCGCATTATCTCTGCAAGAGGAGTAGTTCCTTTTAAAGACGCTCCGGAAGCCGACTGGAGTTGTCAATTCTTACGTTATTCCGCGAAATTATTTGTCTGGCAAGATTGTTAAAGTTTCCACGATTACCAGAGTTGCAGTGTTCTGTTTTATTTTCCGTGCGCGACGGGACGCTGTTCCTCGCCGGGCGCCGGATGAAGAAAGCGGTTTCCTGTCATGGCGATTCCCGGAGTGTATGTCGCGCGCGTGTACATTGCACCGGTGCAGCGCGCCGGGATATGTCGCGATGGATCGTGCGGATCAACGCTAAGAACTCCCAAATCCCACCGGTTTGTCGCATTTTAGCGGCGGACCGCTACGAGAGCCGGCTTCTCGTCGGCGTCATGAAATGGAGAACGCGACGGGGTTCCGTCTAGATTCTTCGCGCGCGTTAAACTCGTCAAATGAATTTTCCGCTTATACCCGTCGAGATTGCCGTCCAACTTTTAATAGGGAGAAAACAATACCTTGCAGAGAGATCCGGCGTCGCGCCGGAAGAAAGATTGCGCCTTATTTCGCTATAGAATGTTTCTCGCGTTTTTCTTCTGGAATAAAGGAATGAAAGAGCATCACGGACGGGGTATTTGAAACCCTGCAATTACTGTTTTTAATGGATCGTTCGATTTAAAAAGAAAGATCCTATAAAGAAAGAGACAGCAATACTTATCATAAGATGCGAGTTATCTTTTTGCGTGGGAAAATCTTTCTCGAAGCATAAACAACTCGAATACTCATCGCAATATTTAGATTGTTGTTTGGAATAGATCGTTGGAGAGCACTGTAAAATCGAAATGACGTGAGACGCGAATATATTTGCAAAATGCCACCGAAAACGACGATTTGTTCGCGTTTCGATTACGCTCGTACGTGCACAGCCGGTGCGCTCGTTCGCGAACGTGAGACAGGATCCCCCAGGACTTTTATGTACAATCTTATTTTTACACTTGCATCGATGGTGATCGTTACGTCGGGATAGCAAGCAGTAAAGATGTGAATGTCACAGCTAAAACCCGACAAACGAGCCGCGCTGTGTTCCGTCGCGATGTCAGCGAGAGAGCCTAATAAAATCGATTGCGAATTAGGTTTACGATCACAACAGCGCCGTCGCAAAATTAATTTCTACAGTTACGAGTGGGATTGACCGGTATTTTAGAGCGGACTCCAACGATTTCGCTGACGTTCTATTTGAAATACAGTCCCGGAGACATTCACATCTTTGATTCTTGCCGTGCCGAATTAGTTCGTTTAGTTTCTGCGACGTTCTCCCGAATGATTTGTTTCCATGTATACTGAATTTGTTTTCCGATTTCTGTTCTAGGCTTCCTCGTAGAATCTCATACGCATACTGTTGTATCGTGTGTTTTCCGTCTGAGTGTTTCACACATGCAAATCTGTTTAGCATTCCCCTTCCCCCCTGCCAAATGCAAAACAGTGCGCTAACCGCCTACAAAAAGCAATCGCAAACTCGATATGTATTGTGTTTTCTTCCATCTAACAAAAGATGTTCCCGACAAGAGCTTGACGTTAGTTAGATTTCAGCGCTGTGAACTTACTTCAATCTTTGCGAGTTCAAAAGTCAGACAAGTATCTTATAGCAATTACGTAAGTCTCTGCGATGAAGCAATCGGATATCAACGAAACGTATAATCCTGATGTTTCTCTGGCGCAAGTGTCAGTTTGCCTCGGTTAAAAGAGAATCGCAGAAATGAGAATCAACTCGCGATACGAATGATAGAAGCGAAGAAATCACGCCGGATTAACTCGTTTAGGAATTCATTTCTGCCGAGCGGCGCGCATCTCCAGTACACGATTCGCTACATGATGCAAAGTACACATGCTTAATTCAATTCAATACGAGAATTAATGCGCTTTTACATTTAATCGTATTATACTATAGACTACACATTGCGTCCTAGATTACCGCTAACAGGTGAGATTTTGAAAGAGGGGCAAATATAAATTGACTCTTGCAATATGCGATACTTCATCCAGAATTCGTAATTCGATCCTTAGAAATTCAATTTAAGAAGCCTCCAAATAATGAGCTGTAAATAATATATTTTTATTTCCTCAGCTTTATATAATTTTAATCTCGACTAGACGAACTTGGCTTAATTCTGATTAACAGCGTCTCATCTCTTTTTGTATCATAATAAGAAAGGAAATTTGATTAAGCGCACTTTGGACTAACTAAAGTTCGCGCAACAAACCGTAATAAACGTCGTTCCACGAGACAACGCGCGATGCGAGAAAAATCGATCGATTTCCAGAAGCTGGTCCCTTTTGTTGTCCAACGAGAGGAAGAAGAAGAGGAAAAAAAGAGGATCCACACATATACACAGACGAGTACGCACACATATATACATGTATATATATGGGGAAACGTTTCTACTACGTACTTTCTCTCCTCTGGGAGAAAGAAAGTTTAATTAAAGTCCGTGGCTGGGATAAATGCGCCGTGCGATGCATCTTAAAACAAACCCCCACGAGAGCGGCGCTGAACGCAAATTCGTTTAGGCGCTATTTCGTTCCCGCAAAGTACCTTTCTTTTCCGCCCTTTTTCGGGACCATTCGTCCATCCCGTCGCTGTTCCACTCCCTTCAACGACTGAAAGTGTCACGGAGAATTATGTATCACTACAAAAAATCTATTGTGGTCCATGGAAAGAGTAACAGGGGAAAGAGAGAGAGAGTGAGAGAGAAAGAGATGATAAAATGATCATCCACAATCCTTCAAAAGCCGAAATCGCTAAGACATTTCTATCAGTTCTTAATTAGCGAGATCTAGTGGCACGAGAAAATTAGCTTCTAGTGGGCGTTTCTACCGAACGTTTTCATCTTGTGCGATCTTATACGCGTTCGATCTTCCACTTCGCGATAAGTGATAAGATTTAGAACAATTTCTAACATGAAGAGATGGATCGATAGTAATCTCGCTATTCCAGCAATTTTTATTCACACATTTTCTATATTCTTCGCTTGATAGCTTTAGTAATCCTCCTTTCTGTCGCAATCTATTCTTTAGGTAATCTATTCTTTTCACGCGTGAAAAAGCACGACTTCAGCGAGCGCTCCCCAACTTTGACGAACTGGCAACAGGTATCCTGGCGGTGTGTCCGGTAAAAAAAATCTGCACCGTCATCGCGATTAGACATCCACCGATTAATCGTCCCTCCTTTCGTTGTGTTCACGGGAACGAGAGCTTCCTGCCTTCCGGTGTGTCGGAAGGAAAGTTGCTCTCGTGAGTCGCGACTAGAGGCGGTTGAATAAAATCGCTAATTTAGCACGAAGCACTTAGCAGCGTAGTCTGCTAATTACATACTTGCTCTCATAAAGTCGCACTTCTCGGTTCAACGGCTCGAGGAATTATGCAATCGGGGTAGCACGCAAAGATACCAGATTGGTCATCAACGTTAATGAATGACCGCACTGACTTCCACCGTTAGCCAATCAAAACATCACTATTTTTACAATTTATTATCGAAGAAGTAACAATGGTGTGTAAAGCTTAAAATATTTTAAAATAATAAGATATTCAGATTTTTATACCGCCATGCATCAATGTACTTTAATTTACTTTAATTTCCGCGAATAAAGTTGTGGAAAAAATGTGTGCCATTTATAAAAAACAATATCTCGTTTTGCGAATTTGAAATAAATATTTCTCTTATTATTAAAACATTTTTGATGTTAAAATTTTTTGTTTAATTTCGTTTTTATGTTTTCTGTCGATAAATTTTTTTAAATCTTAACTTATTCGTTTATTATCGAATTTCAGTATGTATTTAATACCAGATTTATGATTGCGCGACATTTTTTATTTGACAAATATGGCGATATCTTTCGATGAAAATTTCGGCGTGAGGATATCTTTTTATGATGGAGGACTTTCGAGGTGGAAATAAATCAAGGCAATGTCTCGAACAATTTCAATCGTCCTCCATCGACTGGATGATTTTGTCATTTGGATCGTCTGTCTGCGCCATATGAGAGGCATTCTGTAACCGCTTCGAAATAGACAGATGAATAACTCCGTAGCTCTCTTTATGGTGGCTGTCTCGCGCGATTAATGCTCACCGGCCGCGAAATATGACGTCCAGTTAAAGCGCACGGTCAACGAGCGGTGCCTTCTAGTCGAGAATTTTTCGGCA